ACAACAACTTGACATTATTTTCGACTTATAATGTTATGATTTTTTTATTTGATTTCTTGAGATAACATTCATTTAGCATGTATTCCTAAAAATAATTTGTATGGGTTAAAAACAGACATTAGGCTCGAGCTATGCATATAGCGGCTGCTATTTCATATGCGGTATTCATAGGCGCTATTTAATTCGTGTGCTGTGTCATAGCCTACTATTCTTTTGTACATTTGAATGCGAGTGCGAGATAGATGTAGAAAATAACGCACAATATGAACAAACGCATTAAAACGAGTTAAACGCACCTATGAATAGCGGCTATGAAATAGCAGCCGCTATATCGATAGCTCAAACCTAATATCTGGTTAAAAATAATAATATTTTTCAAGGAAAAAGTGGGTATTTACTTTAAATTTTAATTGAATCTATAGCAAGCACTTCGCGAACGGAGCGCCGGTTGGTATGCTTAAAAAAATTGGTAGTCAACAGAAAATTTTCGGTAGAACGTGTTCGGTATTCGGTCGAACATACGAACGAACAGGGTGAATATTTCATTTTCTACGAACGAACGAACGACCGGCCATACATAATTCCTGGACGTTCGTTGACAGCTCTAAATTAGACATTAGTATATAACAATGGCACAAAGAACCAAATAAAATCTAGTCTTAAACTGGTTGTAATTACAGTTTAACAGTTGCTATTTACAGTTCGCGTTTCATTAATCATTTGGTTTGCTAGAAAAACGCGCACGCTGTGATGTGGATACCAGTTTTCTTGACGGTTTTTAATATTGTAATCAATTGTTCAACAGAAAAACTCATTTGTTACATGGTGTTATTGAAATTGAAGTGCAAAACAGAAACACTGCCACATGAGCTGGCTTTGTTCATATTCTTTTGTTGAAGAAGAAGCAACACAACGCATTTCAAGTAGACAACGCATTTTCATTAATATCAATCGAATATGTACCAAAGATGATTTAACAATCTATAGACATATTAACTAAAAAAAATTGGGCAACATTTCAAACGGTGCTCTCGATTCCACATTCAAAAAATCTCAGCCTGAGTGCTTAAAGCAGTAATAACCATTTTATGAATGCGAACCGACCCAAAATTCTATTGAAAACCATTCGCTAATCAATTCTTTACTTTGTTTTCACTAGCTATAAAACATTTTATCAGAAATCTAATAAATTGCACAGAAGCGATGGAAAAAAGGATTCTATTGAGAATTATATTCTAATAAACAAACTAATCGAAATTCCAACAGAAACAAAATTTAGTTTTTTCGACAACGGTGCACGTGATTTACACAATAAACATAAGACCGTGAAAGGTTATGTTTGCAATCGAATGACAATGACAAGCATTTGAAGTTTCATGTAAATGTCAATACAATATGAAACAGTGTTCCAAAGGAAGATTCATTTTGAGATATTTTTTTACAAACAACAAAAAAGTGTTTATTGAACTCAAGTTAAAAAATATAAAATGGATCATTGGATTACTTTTTAGTCCTTTTGGATTAATCGTAGCTGAAAATCCCAAAATACTAAATATTAATACCACCGATATAAGAGTGTAGCGTACACATTACAAACTATTTAATTTGTGCGTTTCGTCGAGTATGTGTGTGTTCTTTTTACATTTTATTAAATATATTTAATAATTCTAAGACTCGAATGAAAAAGTCAAAAGAGAATTACAAATATATACATATATATTTATTCGTATTCTATTTTACATTTTGTTGATATTTAGGCAGATTCTTGCTTTCTTTACTAGATGGAAGAATTCTTAACCTTTAAAGCATATGACTATAATGCGAATAAAAAAAGAATAACGAGTCTTTTATTACATTGAAGATTGGACCTACAATTTGCCCAAGTAACGCTATGAAAAAATCACCGCAACTACCCCTGTATTCATAAAAAATCGAGTGAGATGCGGCACATAGAATCTCATGAGAAGGGGAAAAACCAATACGCTCTTACAAACACATACACATCCATATACATTAGGGTGGGTCAATTTGTAGGGGGCCGAAAAAATCACCATGGGCACATCGCGATTCTGGTACTATGGGTCCTAACAAGTATTTTTGCCCAAGGAACCATACCTCTAAAATCATTTTCGAGCCTGCGGATTTTTATGTCAAAATATTTTCCAAAATACTCAAAAATCGACTTGGACATTGCATAAAAAATTCAAAAAAACATTATTTTTTCTCTAGCCAAATGTGTATGCGGGGGTTTTTGGGGTCGAGGAATCCATTTTTGACATTTATTTTGCGATATATTAACGTTTTGATACGATATCCATACAAAAACTGGCAAAAATGGTCGTTTACTCCTTTTTTTTCTAATTTTTTTTTGTTGATGTCGATTTTGTCATCGGATCAAAAAATTATGTTCTACAAAGTTGTTCAAAATGATGAGAGAATTTTTGTGGGTCAGCTGCCCTCCAACTCCCCCAACCCCCTAGGGGGGTCAGGGGTCATAACCCCTTAACCCCTGAAATTTTTGACATCGTAAATGCCATCAAAGATGACGATATCTTTATCTCTCTGTTTGCTGACGACTTGAAATTAGCAACATCAATCGCTAATATCAACGACACAAGCAAACTTCAATCAGCAGTCAACAAATTAAAATTTTGGTGCGAAAGAAACAAACTGCATTTGAACCTGGACAAGTGCTCAATCATGTCAATTTCGAAAAGGAGAGAGCAAGTTATGAACTCCTACTCTTATGGAAGTCACATCTTTAAGAGAGTGAGTGAACAAAGGGACTTGGGTGTCATCTTTGACAACAAGCTCAACTTTGTCAAACATATCGATTCAATTGTGACCAAGGCGACATCGGCACTCGGATTTGTCAAACGATTCTGCTACGACATCCCCGACATCCATACTCTGAAGTCTCTTTATTATGCTCTGGTGCAGTCAATTCTTGAATATGGCAGTTTAGTGTGGCTACCATATCATTCTATTCACAAAAACAGAATTGAATCATGCCTACGTCAATTCACAATGTTCGCACTGAGAGAATATCCTAATATTTCAAACGACTTCAAAATATCATCCTACAGCACTCGTCTTAACAAACTCAATATGCAATCACTGCAAAGGCGCCGTATAAATGCATCAATTTTATTTATATTCGATTTGCTGCATAAAAACATTCATTGCCCATCACTTGAAACGGAAATCACTCTCAATCAAAACGAACGTAACTTGAGAAATGTCGAGTATATCAAAATCAACGACAAACTATTACGAATCAATCCATCTCTACCTCTCAATCAAATGTGCAGAATGTCAAATAAAGTCCACGATCTTTTCACAACGCAATCAAAAAGATCAACATTCAAAAATCAACTTTTAGCTTTAAGCGACGATCATTTTCCTAACTCGACATTGGTATCTAATTATAATACTGTTTTCTTAAACGACCAAATGTGACCTATTGTGATATTTTTTTTAATTTTGTAATTTTTGTTTTTTTAAATTATTTTAATTACTTTTATGACTCTTGTACTCGAGTGCAATCCGAAAATTTTAATTTTCAATTATTTATCTATTGATCCAATTTTCTTCTTTTGTGATATTGGAAATTATATTATAAATCTATTATCGAAAAGATGTGGTTTTTAACGGTGATTGGATGTATTATGCATCATTGTATCATACCTTTTTCCCACCAACACATGTATAAACATTTGTACAAACTCAAACTAATTCAGCCAGTTTTGGCGGTGAATAAATATTATTATTATGACACATAAAAGGAATTCATTTCCTCGACCCCAAGAACCCCCGCATACACATTTGGCTAGAGAAAAAATAATGTTTTTTTGAATTTTTAATGCAATGTCTAAATCGATTTTTGAGTATTTTGGAAAATATCTTCAGAGAAAAATCCGCAGGCTCGAAATTCATTTTAGACATATGGTTTCTTGGGCAAAAATGCTTGTTAGGACCCATAGAACCAGAATCGCGATGTGCCCATGGAGTAAAAATAATTTACCCACCCTAATATACATGTATATGTTGTTACGTTTCGTCACGCTATATAATTTCCTCTGACTCCATTCTGTTTTCTCTATCCAGTGTTCAATAAAAAAATTAAAAGAAGCGAAGAAACATAACATATGAATGGTCTAAAATAAAAACTCGACTTTTTTTTTAATCTATAAAAGCCGATTTGAGAAAACTTTATATGAAATTTTTCCATTTATATAGGCGGTACAAAAAAATTATCTTTGATGAATGAAACGTTCACTTAAAAAAACAAATTTATAGGTGGAAACCTAGTCTATTTCACTTATACTTTCAAAAACGCGTTTCATAGCTATGTTTTTCTCCCGAACCAGTTATTCATCCATATATTTCTCCTTCGTCCATATTCAATGCTATGAGCTATGTAGATATTCTTGTTTCTCTTTGTGCGTGCGTTTCGGTTGCAGTTGCAGAACACAATACATACAGCATATGCAGACTATCCAGAATAAAAAATTAACACAAAAGCAGTGAAATATATATATAAAAGTTATAGTGCCGTGTTGGCTCCAGTCTGATTTGAAACGTTCGAGTGTAAACACGTATACTGTCGGCGGAATCGACGCTGTCAATATTTTTCCTCTTACTTTTATGTGTATCTACGAAAAAAAGAAATATACGAACACGGAAAACGACTAGAACTTTTTTTTTAAATTCAAAATGTGTGGTTGAACAAATAATCATTCACGTTCTTCGTAAGTGCATTAAACACGAAATTGATCGGATTGACAACATTTTACATTGGAATTTTTAAAAATAGTTTGAGAACCATATAGTGTATTTTATATCCTATTGCGTGTGAATTTTATATCATAAAAAAAGCCTAGTGTAGTGTAAAAATATTACGTGATTTTAAAAAAGTGCATTATAAAAAAGCCACATCAATATAATTTCATTTTAAGGAATTATAATTTAATAATCATTTTATTTGATTTTAGATTGAATCAAAACTGAGTTAAGTGCATGTGCATAAAAAATCATGAAATTGATTGAAACAGTGTTTGATTTGTAGAACTGGTCGTGTAGTTTTCATTTTAAGTTGAAATTGTTCCATACAAGGAATAGAATTTGACTTTTTTGTTGTAACAAAAGTGAACTAACATTACAATGTAACATCGATATTATGTTAATAACATCAATAGTGGGCTTATAAATCAAGTGAAATCAGATGAAATATGGCAAAAATTGCAATAGATTTGAACTCTATTTAAAAAACTAAACTAGAACATTCTACAAACATAAATTGATAGTATGAAATGAGAGAGAGAGAGAGAGAGAGAGAGAGAGAGAAACAACAGATAATTAATATAGCAAGTACAAAACAATACCAAGTACATAAATGAATTTAAAATTCAAAAATATGTGATTGATATCTGAGTCTTATACAAATTCAAAATTGATCAAATACACTTTTCACAGTACATTTTTTCGAATCAACGCCACAAAAAATTACGATCGTTGATTAATAAAGCAGAAAAAGTGGAAATCGGACACAAAAAACATCCAAAACAACACACCCTAAGAAGGAATATAAGCAAGCATGCAAAAATAAAGCCAACTTTCATTAAATGGGCATGTGCTGAATATGAAGGTGATAAGCAGTAGTGCCACGATACATTTGCCATAATCTATATTATGTATGTGTTAAGACGTACACCATTTTATTCTACGTTCATGTTCAACCGATATGCCATAGTAATTGCGAGAAAAACTGTTGTCTGAAAGACGAAAAGCAAACCTCTAAAGCCCGACATCTACCACCGAGAGAAACGAAAGTAAAAAAAATACAGTACACAATACACAATCACAAAATAGGAATGTAAAACGAATTGGTCCCAGTGAAACTAGAATAAACAATACTGACCATAAATAAATTTAATTCGAAACACCATACAGAGGAACCGAAATAGGAAATAAATACTGAAATCCGTTACCGGGCTGTGTGAAAATTTGACAAGAGGAAAAAAATTACAAAAAAGTCGAACATCAAATATATTTCAGAAAATATAATAATAAATTATTATACATCTCACGAATCGAGTCGGAGAACGTAACAAAAGTATGATTTTAATGCCAAACACGAACGTATACTGAAATCACAAGCACTCGGACTCGCATCAAAATTTTAAGAAAGGATCTGTTAGACGAAAAGCACCATTAATAAAATCCGTGTTTTCCATCGTATATATCTTTCCACATGCAGTTCACCCAGAAAATATTGTTTTTTTGACTTTATATCGGGTGAATGTTGAATTTGTATTCCTCGCAGCCAGGAATAAGTAATTTCGCACTGTTGAAACTCGACGTTAAAAAATCAAAGTAGAGGGAAGACAGAAAGCAAAAAGTCATATTGAAAATTAGAAGACGACTTGAATAACCTATTGCTAGTTTTACTATTGTTTGATGAATAAAGCCTACCGAATATTTTAAATTTCATCATCATGTTGACCGTAAGACATATAGTGCTATTGGCTTGCACATTTGGTGTTTGTATTAATAGCGAAAAAAGTAAGCCACAAATGCATTCTGCACAAAATATTGCTGGAGCAATGAAACTAGGTGCATACACGGGCGCCGGCAGCAATAGTTTGAATAGCGGCACTGGCGCCGATGCACAGCTTAAATATGATGCACCGGACGATTGTCGATTTTTTGTTGACGGAATGGAAGAAGTATCTTTGGCATGTAATTTACGCACAATCAACAGTGAATTCGATACAACAAATTTTAGTGTAATTCCATCAGAGCACACGATTTCGTTGACTATTCTGTGTAACGATACAATAATGGCAAAAAGTGCACTAGAACCGAGAAGTTTTCAACATATAGCCCGATTGAAAGATCTAACCATCGAACACTGCAAATTCGCAAAATTGGGACAAGAAGTATTATTGGGCTTAAATGATTTGCGTAATTTAACGATACGTACGCATAATATTAATTGGTTAGCACTTAGTTTGGATATTGAAATAGATTCATTTGTCCACACAAAAAATCTGGAACGATTAGACCTTAGTTTAAACAACATTTGGTCGTTGCCCGAAAATCTATTTTGTAGTTTAGGCGATTTAAATTTCTTGAATATCAGTGCGAATCGCTTGCAGGACATCAATGATTTGGGATTTCGTGAAAAACCGAAGAGTGAGCAACCTAATGGAAATATGATAAACGAATCATCAACGACAAACAGTTCAACCAAAAACAATGCTTCATCAGATGGCACAAGATTCGGCTCAAAACAACCATGTACTTTGGATATTGATACACTGGATGCATCTTACAATCACTTCGTTTTATTGCCTGCAAATGGTTTCGGCCAATTGAAACGCTTAAAGCACTTAAAACTACATAACAATGAAATTTCAATGGTCGATGATAAAGCTTTGGGCGGTTTGCGAAATCTACAAATACTTGATCTCAGTTCGAACCGAATTGTTGCGTTGCCATCCGAATTATTCAAAGATCCAGCCCAGTCTATTCAGGAAGTGTATTTACAAAATAATTCAATTAGCGTATTATCTCCCAAACTATTGTCGAATTTGGAACAAATTCAAGCACTCGATTTAAGCACCAATAAAATCACATCTGGTTGGATTGACAAAAGTACATTTGCAGGCCTCATCCGTTTAGTGCTATTGAATCTGTCAAACAATAAAATCACCAACCTCGAGCCTGAAATTTTTTCGGACCTATACACACTACAGATCTTGAATTTGCGACACAATCAACTTGAATCAATTGCAGCCGATACATTCGCACCGATGAATAATTTGCACACGCTGCTTTTGTCACACAATCGTGTCAAATATTTGGACGCGTATTCCCTAAATGGCTTATACGTCTTATCATTATTGTCACTCGATAATAATGTACTGAGCGGCATTCATCCGGAGGCTTTTCGCAATTGCAGCTCACTTCAAGATTTAAATCTTAACGGCAATGAATTACGAACAGTGCCATTGGCACTCAAAGATATGCGTCTATTACGAACAGTCGATTTGGGTGAGAATCAAATCGTATCGCTTGATGAGCCCGGCTTTCGTGGCATGTCCAATTTATACGGTTTGCGTTTGATAGGCAATAATTTAGAAAATGTTACAAAAAATGTTTTCAAGGATTTACCCAGTCTACAGATTTTGAATTTGGCACGCAATAAAATCTCCTTTGTGGAACCAGGCGCATTTGAAATGACATCCAGTATTCAGGCAATTCGTCTCGACGGAAACTATCTTACCGAAATTAATGGACTCTTCGCACATATGCCAAATTTATTATGGCTCAATATCTCCGATAATAAACTTGAACATTTTGATTATGCACAAATCCCGTTAAGTCTACAATGGCTCGACTTGCATAAGAATGAATTAACAGAACTAACAAATGTTTACGGTTTGGACAATCAACTGAAACTACAGACATTAGACGCAAGTTTCAATCGAATCGAAAAAGTGACACCAAGTTCCATACCAAATAGCATCGAGTTACTATTTTTCAATGATAATCTTATTACAACCGTTGAACCACACACATTTATGCAAAAAACGAACTTAACTCGTGTAGATTTGTATGCAAATCAAATAACCAGTTTGGACGTAAAGGCATTGCGTTTACAACCTGTTTCATCAGCCAAAATGTTACCCGAATTCTACATTGGCGGTAACCCGTTCATATGCGATTGCAATATCGATTGGTTACAAAAAATTAATCAGGTAAGTTTTACCCAATATATATATATATATACCAGTAACAAACAAGTTACAAGATAGTTATCATTTTTGTCCATTAGTACAAAACTCATTCGGAAGATAAGAGAAGTAACAGTTAAATCACAAAATTTTCGGTTATGATAGCTGTATAGAATTCCCAGTGAAAAATGAAAAATATGCGTTTCAAAATATAGAAATTAACTTTATTGTATGTATTATTATTTATGCGACTTGATGCGAATTCAAGAGCAAAATGAACATGAACATAATAATAGAAATAAGTGGAACTGAGTGAATTCGGGCATCCAAAATTATAAATGCGTATAAATTGAGAGAAAAAATCGCATATAAATTATTGGATGCTTATCGTTCACCGAACATCATGCGAACAGCATCATGAACAGTGCAATTTGATGAGGGAAAACTGTAGATTGGTGATAACAATTTCTTACTGATGAATGATTTACACATTATTTCGAATTGAAGTACGCCATATTTGAGTTGGACGAATATTGGTGTGATGTTGTTTCGTTTTTTAAAGCCACTTTACAAGCAGTGCCTGTTAATATGCAGTAGTTCTAGCGTATTCTAGCATATTTTTTAACAAGCTGGCACTCAACGCATACATCAAATGTTAACTCGACTAACGAAACTTTACAATGTGTAAATTTCTGTGTATAATTCAAAGTCAAGAAACTATCATACCTTATAAATTCCACACCTTGCTCCAAAATTGGTATTATTGGGCGTAATCTTCGTCGCATGTACATGAAAATAGCATTTTAATAATGGTGTTAAATGTCGAGAAGTGTTCAATGTTCATATTTATCGTGTTGTTGCACTTTGAATTTCTTTAATTAATTTAATTAAATGTTTAGATTTGAAGTCAAATACTAATGTGCGCTCTTATGATGTTTTCATATTTTTATAATTGTCAATTTTTCAAGTGGGATGTTTAAACCTATAAAATTTAGGCATAGCACACTTATGATATCATTTCGACTTCTAAAAATCAACGATTATATCAAGTGGGATGGATTTAGTGCCAGTGTATGTGTGTTATTTGTTCACATATGAAGTGGCGAGCATCGTTTTTTCTTCGCTCATTTTTTTTTCTTTCTTTCGTCTTCATCGTAATCATCAATACAATTTTCCTTCGTCTTGCCATGATATTGGATATTCAAGTATTTCAACTTAAATCAACTTGATTACCGATAAATTACTGCGCCTTTCCAGTATTATTTGATACCGCTGCTATTTCCTCGTATGTGTTTGTACAAGTCACCCTTTTAAACAAAATATGTGAAGTAGGGTGGCAAAAAAAAAATGTGTATGGGAAGAACTCCTGATTTTTTTGGCAAACTTCCAGAATTAAATAATCTGTGCAAAGTTTCACGTCGCTACGTTGTATAGCTCCCACATTTTTGGTAATTTTTTTCACAATTTTCTATGAAAAATGTATTGAAAAATTGGTTGTATCGCAAAACTTACGTCGATTCATTTTTCTCGTACCTAAAAAACTCCTACTACGTATTTTTTTCATAATTTTTTGTAGAAATTAAAAGACTTCCAAAGGTCCCATCGAGGAATTTACCAAATGAATTTGTAGCGCCTGGGTCACCCAATTGAACAAAATAAAGGTCCACATGGTATTTTTAGGCTCCATATATGATAAAACTGGTCTGGAATGTGGAAAATTTAATACTTATTTTTTTGTGCCACCCCAATGTGAAGTGTATATCTCTGGCTTAGATTAATTGTTGTTGTTGTTAGTGAGTACGATTTCGAGTCGTGTTTTTTAACGTGTCTTTTTCCATCAACGTTGCTCAGATATTACATTACATGGTTACTGTTGGTTGTTACACGCATAACTTCGTGTCCAATTTTGCACAACATATTTTTCGAAGACGCATGTTCAGTCTTTATTTTCTCTCTCGCCATCTCACCATTATCCTTAGCTTCTTTATGTTTTGTTGTTAATTCTTTTATCCACTTTAACACACTCACAAAGGCATTAGGAATTTACAGCTTATCCGTTTCGTTTTTTTTGTTTCTTCATTCCCGTCAACTATGGAAATTCAATAAAGTATTCTGATATATACTAAAGCGAAAAAAGAGAAAATACACATAAAGCGAACGCAACTTTTTGAGATGGATCTTGTTTCTTTTTGTTTTTTGTTTGATGTTTCATAATGAATTTCACTTCAAAATCTATTGGATAATACGAATCGCTTCATATACAGAGTGGCGCATATAATGGGCTCACTCTTAGGGGGTGGGAATTTTGAAAAAACTTTTGGGGGGTATGTTGGGGATAAAAAATAGAAAATTTCTATCTGAGCAGAATTTTGAATTTTTCCTCAAGGGGTGGGGTGCCCCCAATTTTTCAAAAGTTCATCGGATCAAAAAATAATGTACTACAAAGTTGTTCAGAAAGACGAGAGAAATTTTTTCGGACCCCTGCCTTCCAAGTCCCCCCACTCCTTAAGGTGGTCGAGGGGTCAAAAATCCCCAAGATATGATTTTTTTGACCTGAAACCCCAAAATTTTGAATCATTATGCAAAAATACCTTAGAATTGATATTTTTCTCATCCACATTTTTTCAAGAATTCTGGACCAAAAAAGTGTAAATCGACTTTGTAAGATTTGACCCCATATGAGGCACCGTAGCCGTGCAGTGGAGGGCGCGTAATGGAACTACGAGCCTATCACTTTTGGCAACACTGTTCGTAGTGTTTTGACATTTCATGAAATGTGACTTTAATGTTTGTTGATATGAACCGTGTTTGAGTTTTTGAAATTCTAATTTATTATTGTGAGTTTTTATATGTATTTTATTATTATGATAAAATAACAGTGAAAAAAAGTGTGAAAACATATGTAAGTATTGAAAATTTCAAAAAAACAAGTGTAAATTTCTTGAATTGAATTGGTAAAATTTCTTA